AATAAAACAATTATTATATGGCTGTGTCCCACAAGGACTGGGAACTACAGAATTCATGAATTTGATTGGCTGAAATCAATATTGAAAGTGGTCTAGATTTTCCCGTCTAGACCGGCATCTAGATCGGTCTAAAAAAAAAGTTAAAGAATATAAAATGTTCTGTTGCTTTTCTAGACAGCCATATAATAAACATCTTATTAACCCAGCTAGGTCGGTCTGTATGGGAGAATCTTGACCTCGGTCAAGATTCTCCTGTACAGACCGACCTAGCTTGGTTAATAAGAACTAATTATAAGCAAACTGCTCTTAGTAGAGTACAAATAATGCTTTATTCCGAAAGCACAAACATCACACCATATTATAAAATTATATGGACAGTTGGTTGATTTGTACATGTACAAACCTGTTTAACTGGTTTGCTGCACTCATCAATTTCCTTTGCTCTTATGAGAAGTAAGCATAGAATAATAGCAGTTGGATGATTTAACTTATTACAGATTTTGGTGTGTCAGTAGCACTAGTGCTGAATGTTTCTACTTGTTTCTATTTTGACCTGCCCTAATTGGGCTCGTCAAAATACCTGACAACTTGTAAGAATATTCAGCAGTACTATGCAACAAAATGTCTAATGAGATATATTAAACCTATTTTATGTAATCCTAATTTCATATCTGCATTCTGGCAAGCTTTAATGTCAATGGACCAAATATAAGGTCATTGCTTTTTGCATTTTAAACAAATAGGTGCTGACCAGAAAGGTGTTAGTAGTGGGAACTAGAAATTAATGAGTTATTTTAACTTCTAGCTGCTGTCTGCATCTCAAAAGCATTTGTGTCTGAGCTTCCTATTATAATTTTCTTGACCCAGAAATGTTTTAAATCATCTTAAACTTTCTTGCATCATCAGATTTCTTTGTCAGTTCATAATTAATTGCAATTAATGTTTTTACATTAAATAAACAGATTTATATCCTGGGAAGCAGTATTTGAATGTTAGTTACCTTCAAGTTAGATTTGTGTTTCAGTCAAAGCTGGGGTAGTTCTTTTGCCAGTCAGTATAATGTGCTAGACTGTGGATCAAGAGGTATTTTGTTTGATGATCTCTGACTGGTGTCATGGTATTGTGTCCTAATTAATAGGAAACACACTTCACCCTTAAACTCCCAGAAGTGATTAAGTTATCAGTTATAGTTGGAGTCTTGATCTAGCATCAAATTCTTGAAACTAATTTTCAAGGAAATGTGTTGCAGCTAGAGGGGAGAATTACAATTCAGATTTTGGGAGTTTAAGGGTAAATCCTCGCTTTACCTATTTGTAC